GTGGTTTTTACATGTAACTCCCGGCCCAAGTGTGGGGCTGCCTGAACCTAACAGGTCAGGCCAGCACCTGCTGGTGCCCCTCTGCCCACTGGAGCCAACCAGCACTCTACAGAGATCCAGAAGTGGGTATTCAGTGCCAGGACACTGATCTTTCCAGGAGATGGGGCCAGGGCCAAGTGGTAGGTGGAAGTTGCAAAGGGCTTGCCCACAGACACATGCGGGTGTTGGTCATTGGGCTGGGCTTCACTGGGGCTCGCTCTCGAGATGGGGGCCAGCCCAGCCAGTAAGTGCGTGAAGCACTTCCGTGGGTTTTTCCTGAGTCCGCATCCGGAGACCCAGAGGGCAATAGGTAAGGGGTGAGGTACAGCCGCAGGGTCTGAAGGGAGAGTTCCAGGGTTCGGTGGCAGCTGATCCATGGTCATTATGGCTACACCCCCACCACCTGGGCGTTGGGACTGCAGTCTGTTCACTACAGATTGTGCCTGCCAGAGGCGGGAGAGGCTTACACACCACAGCTGTGCTTGCCAGCCATGAGCCCAGCTTCTGGCTGAGCAGTGCTCCCATTGTGGGAGTGCACTGCCCACCAGGGGCAGCTCCTTTGTTAAGTGTTTGCTCCCTGGTGGTCAGTGTGAATCATAGCGACTGGTCATTTCAGTCATTCTGGTCGTTCTGTCGTAACAGTTGCTGGGCTTTTATATATATAGACTAGAGGCCTGGTTGCATGGATTCGTGCACTGATAGGGTCCCCTTGGCCTGGCCTGTGGGGATCACTGGACCTCCACGTGCCACAGCCCGGCCTTACCTGCCAGGTTGTCAGGCTCCAGACCACTGTCCCTGTCGATCCCACACAGCACGAAGTAGTGCGTGAGGCAGCAGGTGGCTGGGAAGGAGCCCGAACCCAGGCTTGGCACCATGCCACTCCCGCTCATCCCAGCCCGGCAGCACCTGCTGCCACCCATGCACATGGGGAGTGTCCACAGGAGAGGCTCTCAGGTGCAGTTGCTCTCACCAGCCATGAGCCCAGCATCTGGTGCCAGTCAGCTGAGCAGTTCCTATTGTGGGAGCTCAGGCCAAGCTGGTGACGGAAGCTGCCAGCCTCTCCTTTTTTTCTTTTTTTTTATTCAGGGATTTATTTCCCTTCTATAATTGAAGCTTTGTTGCAGCTCCAGCTCCAAGGCCAGCTGCTGAAAGCAGCTCTCTGGGGTTTGTTTAGCTTCTATAATTGCAACTTTGTTGCTTAGAGTGGAGCTGAGAGCCCAGCCGCAGTAGGAAGGAAGCTTGACTTCCTCCATCACTGGAGCAAGCAAGCCTCCTGTTCACTTCAGCTGCCTGGCTGCTGGCTGCCATCTTGCCTGGCAGTTAATTTGCATATCTCGCTGATTAGCCAATGGGAAGGGTAGCAAAGTTATGGTTAATTACCATGTTTGTCTATTATTAGATAGGATGACACCAGAAGCACAGGTAACAAAAGCAAAAATAGACAAGTGGGACTATATCAAACTTAGAAGCATCTTGCACAACACAAGAAACAATTAATAGAGTAAAAAGGCAACCTACAGAATGAGACAAAATACTTATAAACCATATATCTTACAAGAGGCTAATATCTAAAATACCAGAAGCCCGGTGCACAAAAATTTGTGCACTCGGGGTGGGCGGGGGGTCCCTCAGCCTGGCCTGTGCCCACTCGCAGTCTGGGACCTCTCGGGAGATAACAACCTGCTGGCTTAGGCCTGCTCCCGGGTGGCAGAGGGCAGGCCCAATCCCTAGGTGCAGCCCCTGGTCGGGCTCAGAGCAGGGCCGACTGGGGAGTTGGGGAGCCGCCCCCTGTCATGCACAGAGCAGGGCAGATGGGGAGGTTGTGATGCTA